CAAAAAAAAAAAAAAAAAAAAAAATATATATATATATATATATATGGTTAATAGTGAACTTTCCTATCCCATAGAGTCATTTGAGGGTTCAGGCTGATGGTTGGGCAAGAAAGCAGTTGTTTGTTTTTGGCTTTTTTTGGTATTGCTGGAGTCTCACTCTGTCACCTAGGCTGGAGTGCAGTGGCATACTCATGGCTACCGCAGCCTCAACCTGCTGGGCTCAAGTGATTCTTCCACCTAAGCCTTGCAAGTAGCTGGAACTACAGGCATGTGCCACCACACCCGGTTAATTTTTTGATTTGTTGTAGAGACGAGGTCTTGCCAAGTTGTCCAGGCTGGTCTTGAACCCCTGGCCTCAGGTAATCCTCTCCCCTTGGCTTCCCAAAGTGCTGGGATTACAGGCATGAGCCACTATATCTGGCCAAGAAAGCAGTTTTTAAACTATCAAAACAGATGTTACTTATATAAAAATAACATGTTCCCTTTAGTTGCTCCCTAGACATGGAGAGTTCTCTCCCTCATGAAGACTTCTTTCTATAGTCCTTAGACTGGGGCTAAGATGTCTTTGCAAAGGAAGATTCTCCGCACCCCCTGTCTCCAACATATCTCCTTCCCTTCCTGTGCCCACTCCTAGGAGGAGCTGGCTCTGTGTGGCTCCAGGCTGCTGGTCCTGGGCTTCTTCCTGCTTTTCTTCTGTGGCCTTCTCTGCTGTGTCACTGCTGTGTGCTTCCACCCGCGCCGGGAGTCCCACTGGTCTAGAACCCGGCTCTGAGGGCACTGACCTAGTTCCCGACTTGTTCTCAGGTGAGGTTCTTTGCTCCATTCCTGGGGGATCAGGGGAAAGGTGGGGGCGGCAGTTGTAACTGGGGTAGAGCAGATCCTTGGAATCTACCCTCAAATATTGCTTCTTCTGAGTCCCTGAGAACCCTCTTCAACTACAGCTTTCCCTTTAGGGACTGAGAATAATTTACACTATCAGCATTCGATATATTTGTTATTTTTACTTTTTATTATTAAATATGTAACACTCATTAAAAAAAGTACAGCTTGGCAAATTATTATAAAGTGGATACTTGTAAATACCATTCAGGGAATAAGTAGAATTACCAGCAACCCAGGAGCCCCCTACTCTTGGTCCCTTTCTTTCTGACAGTGCCCTCCGTCTCCCTAGAAGTAACTACTATCCTGCTTTATAGTTTATCACCTAGTTTGCATTCCTAAATAATACAGTTTGGTTTTACTTATTTTTGAACTTAAAATAGAGCATGCATATTCTTTGTGACTGTCTTTTTTATTTTATTTTATTTTACTTTTGAGTAGGAGTCTCACTGTGTCGCCCAGGCTGGAGTGCAGTGGCATGCTCATGGCCACTGCAGCCTTGACTTGCTGGGCTTAGGTGATCCTTCCACCTCAGCCTTCTAAGTAGCTGGAACCACAGGCGTGTGCCACTATACCTGGCTAATTTATTTATTTATTTATTGTAGAGATGAGTTCTCACCAAGTTGCCCAGGCTGGTCTTGAACCCCTGGATTCATGCAGTCCTCTCGCCTTCACCTCCCAAAGTGCTGAGATTACAGGTGTGAGCTACCACGCCCAGCATGTGACTGTCTTGATGTCCTGATGAATTATGTTTGTCTTCTTTCTGCCTGAAATTCTTTTTAATTTGAGACAGGGTCTTGCTTAGGACCCAGGCGCAATCATAGCTCACTGCAGTCTCAAACTCCTGGACTCAAGCAATCCTCCCACCTTCAGCCTTCCAAGTAGCTACTACTACAAGCTTGTGCTATCACACCCAGCTACTTAAAAAATTTTTTTGTAGAGATGGGGGTCTCACTATATTGCCCAGGCTGGTCTTGAACTCCTGCCCTCAAGCAGTCCTCCCACCTTCCCCTCCCAAAGTGCTGGGATTACAGGCATGAGCCACTGCTCCTGGTCTGTCTTGAAATTCTGATACCCAGTTTTATGATACAACTTTCGTAAAATTCAACTTGAACAGCAAAGAATCTAATTCCTTTGAAAATTAGAGTCCATTAACTGGGCACATAGTATGTGCCTGAGAACTTTACATGTACCTTCTGTTTTCCATTTAGTCATTATTACATTTAGAAAAAGCTGATTCAGTTAAGATCTTTGGAGAGGATCAGCTTTACAAAGGTAGCAGTGGGTGGGTAGTATTTTGGCTAACTAGTTCACATGTCAGCTTATTAAGGGAGAAAATATTTCTGCAAAAAATCTTCATGTGTAAGGTGGGCCTCATGTAATTTGAGAGCCATGTGTTATGTATCCAGCTCTTACCCTGTTCTCAGCTTCTGCTGGCTGCTGTGCCCTAGGAAGTTACTATGGGAGAAGTGGAAACAGTCCAGACCCAGGGAACTGCTCAGGCCAGAGGAACTGGAAGCTCAAGATCAACTTTGTTTATTTTGCTTCCAGCTAGGCCTGACCACTCAAACTGACCACTCCAAGCTTGGGACAGGAAATGATGGACTCTCTCAGCCTCCAACTGGGGAAAGAAGGCTTCCTGGCCCTGAGCAGATCCTGGAATCCTAAGGCTACCCCGTTGAGATTAAGCACCTGAATCTGCCTTCTGCTGTCACTCCCTTTGCTCTCTCCTCAGCCTCTGCACCCATCCCAGAGCGTCCCCTAACACCTTTCTGATCGGTACTGTTTTTTATTTTCTTTCTGTCTGGGTGTGAATCAACGTCTTGGTCCTTGGTACTGAGTTTGAAGAGATATTACAAAAGTGAAGACCTGGAATATGGGGGGAAATAAAAGGTTTTTTTGCCCAGAGTTGCATAAGGTGTTTATTTGGGATTCGATTGAGATGGGAATTTTAGGGTAGACTGGCTTGGGAGGTTTGGGGAACTTTTCCTTGTTGAGTCTCTCATTTGGGATACAGATTGGCATAGGACATTGGTTACTTCAGCTCTTTGCAAGGTTGACGGCTTTGAAAAACCTGGTTTTGATCCCAGCTCTGCCACTTTATGCCTTGTTTTCTTCTATGAAATAAAATTAGATAATTTCAGCACACTGGCAGGTAGCATCAGGGCACGTAAATGCTTTGATATAAATGTACTGTGACCTTAGGCGAGGCACACAACTGCTCAGGGCCTCAGTTTCCTGAAGGGATTTGACCAGTTGAGTTTTCCCAACATTGATGGGCAACGACTCCTCACACTTGGGAGCCCGCGTCCAAGCTGGATGGTTATCAACCTTAGAACAGTCCACTTTCCCGCCTTTTCCGTGCCCGGCAGCAGCTTTCCCTTACCCCTCCCAACTTCTATCCTGCACGCAGGCGCAGATCACGCAGATCGCGGCTGCTTTCCTTCCACCGCACCTCCTCAGAGCTTCCCCTAGCAACAAACTCTGGCTCCGAGCGAAAGCGATGCGGGCGCATGCGCCGCAGCTCTTTCCACCGCCAGTCGTCGGATCGCACGCGGGGCTCCACCCCCTGTAGCCTAGCCCTTCTCGCCGCCTCCTCCCACGCAGAGTCCGCGTGGCGGGGCGCGCGCGCACTCGGTCAGGCTCGGAGACTGCTAGTCTACCGGGCCGCGGCAGTAGGGAGAGAGGGCGGGGCTGTTTCCTTTGGGGCCCCGCCCCCTTTGGTCCGGCGTCCCTACCGCGCCTGCGCGCTCCCGCCCGGTCTCCATCTTGGAATTGGGAGGAAGAGGGAGAGGGAGAGGGAGACCGGGACGAGGTTGGGGCTGTGGTGCGGAGAGAGGCTGAAACGAAGAGGAGAGGGAGAGAGGGCGCGGGGACCGTCAGCAGCTCCTTAGCTACAATCTTTCAGCTATTCTCGGAAAAGAGAAGGGGAGAGGGAGGAGGTCGGGGCGGGAGTGGGGGCTGTCACCTTTGGACCCCGGCGTGAGAGGGGCCGTGCGGCCGGACGTCCTCGCGGTGGGCCCCCTGTCGGTGGCCGAAGACCTGGGGCTCAGGCCCCCTGGGTCCCAAATTTCCGGGCTTTGCCCCTCCCTTCTCAAATACCCAGGTATCAGTCCTCATATTCCAGATATCTGGGACTCGGGTCCCAACCTCTTTAAACCTGGGTCTGTGTTTCTTAGGATTTCAAATATCTGGGGTTCAGGCCCCTGCGTGCACCAGTATCCGGGGTTCATCCCCCAGGCCTTCAAATATTGGATTCATTTTTCCCTCCGTTGAGATATTCGGGGTTCAGCAACTGTCGCCCTCGAAGAGGGGGAGGACTGGACCGCGAGGTCAGATTAGGCTGTCACCCCCTCCCCTCCAGTGGAGGCTTCCCGGGCCCGCCCCTCAGGAAGGGCGAAAGCTGAGGAAGAGGTGGCAAGGGGAAAGGTCTCCTTGCCCCTCTCCCTGCTTGGCAGAGCCGCTGGAGGACCCCAGGCGGAAGCGGAGGCGCTGGGGCATCATAGTGACCCCTACCAGGTGAGACATGGGGTGCAGGGTCGCGGGTCCCTGTGTCTAGCACTGAGAAGAAAGGGTGCCCCTTTCTGAGAAGCTGGACCTGATTAGGCCCTCTCCTCAGGGGAAGCCCAGCTGGTCAGCCTCTGGCTAGCTTTGCCTTCTGTTGCCACCCTCTTCCCCTTCCTCTTCCCTTCATTGTGTCTGGTTGACGGGGGATCTCAGGTGACAGGGTTTCTGATGTCACCGAGGGTCACACCCTAGGGTGCTTGAGCTAATCAGATGGGTTTGGTCTTCTCCCTGTTCACTTTGCCCCCCACAGCCACCTCTCCTCCGTGATTATACTCCTTGTTCTGACTGCTCTGAGGTGTTGATTCCCATGCCTCTTCTCCCCATGGTGGGTCTGCTTGTCTGCTTTTCAGGCCTGGTGGGGTTGGATTTCTTGGCCTCTCAAGGAAGTGTGTGTGTGTGAGTTTGAGTTTGAGGGTGCCTGGCAGTATTTTCCCCCAGCTACAGTTACCTTTCAACCTCTTGGTGTGATGGTATAGTCTCCTACATTTGTCAGACGACCTTTTTAAAAAGTGCTTTTACATCCATTCTTCCATGTGACATCCCCTCCATTTGCCCCTTATATTAGCGTCTTCCCATTTTACAGTTGAGAACATTGAGACCCAAAGAGGTTGCCCAAGGTCACACAGTGGTAGAATCAGAATTTGAACCCAAGTCCCAGTCAGATCTTTCCCTGACCCTTACCTGTTTCTCATCATCTCTTTTCTCAGAGCCTGGGCTTGGCCAGGGATACAAAGAAGAATGAGTTGGAATGAGGTTTAAGAGTGGGGTGAAATGAGTTTTCTTTCCAGGAGGGCTGTACTTAGATCTTTTCCTGATGGAAGGTTCTGGCTCCTGCCTCTGCCTCTGCCTCATGGATTTTCCTACCTACTATGACCTTCATCTTTACCCTGACCCCAGGCTTTGGCCTTGGTTCCTGAGAGGGCTCTTCTGACAAATGATAGCCATAGTGGCATCTTTTAACAGTTAAAACCATCCTGTTGGGGCAGGATGATCCCCAAAGGATTAAAGTCTTGTGGGAACCCTGGAGGCAGGGAAGGAAAAATCCATATGCTGAGTGTCTGCATAGTGTTCCTGAGTATGAGATCTCATTAAAATCTTACCACAGCCCCATGCTGTAATCCGTTTTACCAAAGAGAAGATGATGAAGTGTAAGGAATTCATTCAAAGCCTTGTTGCTGTATGTTGCACATGGGATGTACTGGTAGTGTTAGTTTAAGGACAGATAGATTTGGGTTTCCTCATCAGAAGAATGGAGATATCATTGTCCCTTGTAGAAGGTGGTTACAATTTAGCACAGATTTTGGTAATTAATCAACTGTTTGTTATTATTGTGAAGAAAGGGACCTGTATGATGTTTTTTGCCAATGGCTGGCACCCCTTCCATGGGGCTTGGGGTCCTGGGTTGGCATTCTTGGGCCTGATGCTGGTAAAGAGGTCAAGCAGATTCCTTTGGCAAGTTGTGAGCACTTGCCTTTGTGTGGGAGTGTGTGGTGCGGGTGAGGGGTGCTTGGCACTGTTGCTGGCAGAAGGGAGAAAGGGCCTGCTTTGAGCAGCTTTGGCTGCTGAGGGCTGACTTGAGAGCAATCTATCAATCTCCTAGGCTATTCTGAGCCCTCTGCACCCTAGGGGCCCACTGGAGAGTTAGGCTCCCTCCTTGCCCTCTAGCTTCCAGTTGGGCTGAGGAGACAAAATTAACAACACAACAGGAAACAATGCATTACGGAATATAATTACATGCTAAAGTTGTTAGGTGCTTTTAAGTAGCTAGAACTGTGCCCTGGGAGTCCAGCTCTGCTGAAGGCTGCTTTGTGCCTAAATTCTGACTAGTGTTGAGGCAGGAGCCTGTCCTGGGATCCTCTCGAGGGCCCTGATTCTGATATCCTGCAGGAACTTTTTCTGGGTATTTGGCTGAGTGCTCTAGGAGCTCTCCCCAAGGACTGGAGTGGTCAGGGGAGGCTTCCTGCAAGAGAGAAAGCTGACAGCTGGGAGAGTAATGGACATGAAGACTTGACTGGAGAGGAGGAGGTCTTGTTCTCAGACCTTGGAGAAGTCCTTTTTCCTCTCTGTGCCTCAGTGGCCTCATCTGGGGAATGTGATTGTGATCCTGCCTGGCATGTTTCATAGGGCTGTTCTGAAATCAGCAGTGGAGAACCAGCTTGGGACAAGTCACTTAACCTTTCTGAGCCTGTTTCTTCACATGTAAAATAGGGGTAATCATAATACTTTTCCCATAAGGTTGCGGTGAGGGATTGAAAGAGAGATGCATGGAAGGTGCTTATATACATGCTCAGTAAATGATATTTGTTCAGTTCAAATGTCTTGTACCTGTGTGTGATATTAGGCAATTGGACTGGACAAGTAAGGCAGTCTAGACCATAGAGAGGCCCTCAAAACCTGATGCCATTTGTATTCCTGTCCTTCCCATTCTAGATCTCCTCCCTGCCAGTGTCCTTAATCCCTTTTTGAGAGTGAGTCTGCTGGCCCCTCTGGGCCAGTACTCACTTCTAACAATGGCCGGATTTCCACTGCCTCCGGCCTGGCCATTTCCTGTTCTCTTCCAGGGTGTGAGAAGATGGGGGGGGCTCAGCGCCAAGGGGAACGGGAAGGTGCCTGTTGGGCTTGTGGGACAGGACACTTGGGGATCTGGAGTGCTGATTGGAAGGCAAAATATTTTATCCTTGAAGGAAGAAATAGGGATTATAGGGAAATGGAAACTTGTTGAGGGCTGAGGGAGGTGGTAAGGATGCTTAGCTTCCCAGAATTTTCCTAGCAGTTTTAGGGACTCCAGGGACCCAGCCCCGTGATCTGGTTGCCAGGGCAACTTCATTTTTTTGGAGCTTTGATGTTGTTCCTAATCTCCCCCTGCCCTTCCTCAGCAGTGCCTCCCCCACATCAGGGAATGAGGGGAGGAGAAGGCAGAAATTTGAGGGGCCCCTTCTTCTCTCTTGGGGCCCCATCCTTGCTCTAAGGGTCCCATCTCCATTCCCTAGGCCAGGCCCCACTCTCAGGGCCCCCGGGGGCCACCATGCCAGCTGGGGGCCGGGCCGGGAGCCTGAAGGACCCTGATGTGGCTGAACTCTTCTTCAAGGATGACCCTGAAAAACTCTTCTCTGACCTTCGGGAAATTGGCCATGGCAGCTTTGGAGCCGTGTACTTCGTGAGTCGGGTCTTGGGAGGGTGAAGTAGTGGTGGAGACTCTATTTACCCTGTGGACTTCCAAATATCCCTTCTCCACTACCACACTAGCCAGTCCTACTCTCTCCTGTTGGGCCAACAAATCATCCTGTGCCTGGCTCTCATCTGGGACCTTTACCACCTTCTGGTCTGGTTCTGTAGGCCCGGGATGTCCGGAATAGCGAGGTGGTGGCCATCAAGAAGATGTCCTACAGTGGGAAGCAATCGAATGAGGTGGGTCATGCTCAGTAAGATCAGACTGGGAGGCAGGAGACTCCAGTTTCAAGGTGCAGACTGGGGGCCAGGTGCAGTGGCTCATGCCTGAATCCTAGCACTCTGGAAGGCCAAGGTGGGAGGATGGCTTGACTAGGAGTTCAAGACCAGCCTGGGCAATATAGCAATACCTTATCTCTACAGAAAAATAAAAAATACAATAAATAAATTAGCTGGGTGTGGTGGTGTGCACCTCTAGTCCCAGCTACTTGGAAGGCTGAGGTCAGAGTATTGCTTGAGCCCAGGAGGTTGAGGCTGCAGTGCTATGATTATGCCACTGCACTCTAGCCTGGGTGACAGAGCAAGACCCTGTCTCCAATAAAAAGATACAAATTATGTAACTGCTCCTTCCCTGACCTTCTAGAAGTGGCAGGACATCATCAAGGAGGTGCGGTTCTTACAGAAGCTCCGGCATCCCAATACCATTCAGTACCGGGGCTGTTACCTGAGGGAGCACACAGCTTGGGTAAGCTGGCCCCCAACTCTGGCTTAATCTTTACCTCTACTCAGGTCTGTCCTTATCAGTTTCTTAGTTAGGATCTCTTCAGGGTGCCATTGTGGGATCTTGGGAAAGAGAAAGTCTCTCCTGATCACTTTAGTCCTCAGACAAACCCATGAACAGCAAGACGCTAGCTCAAAAAGTGACATAGACTGTTAACAGATGGAAAAAAGCACGTGGGCTGGAGGAGGTGGAGACTTAATGGGTCTTTGAAGGGATTCAGATGGGAGTGGTGGCGAGTGTCTTGGGCTCTTTCTAGGGGAGGTCTTGACAGGCTCTGGGAACTCTCCCACTACTCTCTCATTGTCTTAAGTTTCTTTCCTCCTTGTCATTACCCTGGGGCATTGCCTGAGTGGAGGATAGGCGGGAAAACTGTCCTGAGTCACTGCCCAAGGGATCTGGGCCAGGGGTAACCAGAATCTGTTGCTCTCTGACCCTTTTACTTTCTTTAGCTGGTGATGGAGTATTGCCTGGGCTCAGCTTCTGACCTTCTAGAAGGTGAGTGCTTTGTTGGCCAGTAAGTAGGAGAAAGAAGCTATAGGGGGAGGGTTACGAGGATTTTATTCCAGTTCCACCATTGGGATCTCTCAGTTGATGTTTTTCCCTCACTCCCCAGTGCATAAGAAGCCCCTTCAGGAGGTAGAGATTGCAGCTGTGACCCATGGGGCGCTTCAGGGCCTGGCATATCTGCACTCCCACAACATGATCCATAGGTAACAACAGCACCAATGATGGCTGAAGAGGGGTATTCTCTGTATACCATTTTTCATTTAGGTGGGCTGTGTCATCTTGGAAACTGTGCAGCCCTTGTCTACTCTCCCTGAACTGTGCCTTATCCTTGTACTTTGCCTGTGGCAGGGATGTGAAGGCTGGAAACATCTTGCTGTCAGAGCCAGGGTTGGTGAAACTGGGGGACTTTGGCTCTGCATCCATCATGGCACCCGCCAACTCCTTCGTGGGCACCCCTTACTGGTGAGTGACGGTGGTGAGTGGAGAGAGCTCCCAAGATTTTGGGAGTAGGAGTTACAGGGACTGGGCAGGTGATTAGTCTCTCTTTCCTGACCATTCTCTTAGGATGGCACCCGAGGTGATCCTGGCAATGGATGAGGGGCAGTATGATGGCAAAGTGGATGTCTGGTCCTTGGGGATAACCTGCATCGAGCTGGGTAAGGATGTCCTCCTCTCTCCTTTCTCACCCTCTTTCTTTACTCTTTTCTGTTACTCTTCCCATACTATTCCATCCTTCTAGGAGACCGATGGGATCCCAGGCCTCAATATATGTAGCTGTCAAATCTTGTCAGCTCTTAGGCCTAAAAAATTTTGCAGCATTCATCTTTTTTTTTGGAGTTTTTTTTTTTGGAGTTTTGTTTTTTTTTTTTTTTTTTTTTTGAGTTATAGTCTTACTCTGTCATCCAGGCTGGAGGGCAGTGGCACGCCACAGCCTCGACCTGCTGGGCTTAGGCAATCCTTCTGCCCCAGCCTTACAAGTAGCTGGAACTACAGGCATGCACCACCATGTCTGGCTAATTTTTTTATTTATTGTAGAGATGCGGTCTCACCAAGTTGCCCAGGCTGATCTCAAACCCAAGGGCTCAGGCCATCCTCTCACCTTGGCCTCCCAAAGTGCTGGGATTATAGGCATGAGCTACCGATCCTGGGCTGCATTCATCTTTTTCTACCCACTCTCCTAGTTCTAAACATTTTTGAGTGGCCACTGTGCCATGCAGTGTACTTGGTTCTGTGGTGAATGCGAATCCTGTCCTCATGGAACTTACATTTGAGTTGGGGAAACCAGGCGTGTTTTATCTCCGTGTGATGTAAGCGGAATGGAGAAGTTACAGAAGTGCAAACAAAAAACAGTGGACTTGACCAAGTTTAGGAGCTGAGAAAGCCCTCCTGGGATCAGAGATGTTTAAACAGAATCACAGGATAAATAATAGGTATTTGAAGACTATAGGGGAAAGCATGCCATATGGAGAGAACAGCATGCGCAGAAGCCTAGAGATAAAAGCAAGTGTGGGGAACTGAGACTAGCTTCACTTGTTTGGAACATAGTGTGTAATGCAAAAAGTAATGAGTGATAGAGTCAGAGAGTTAGGCTTGAACGAGTCCATCAGTTCTGAAGCCACATCAGTTTTCTTACCTCTGCCAGCCTGCACTGTTGAACAACTATTTAATGAGTTAATGTTTGTAAGGCCTCCAATACAATGCCAGTAAGAGAGATGGTGTTAATTACTTTTTTTTTCCCTGAATACATTTCTGTTGCCTTTTTTCTTTTCCTTTTCTCAGGTGTTACTCTTATTAGCAATCTCCTGCAGTAATCTTTCCTACTGCCAGTCTCTTCTCCTTTCTAGTCTGTCTTAAGTACTAGTGCCAGAGAAATATGCCTAAGCTTGGTGCTGTTGTTTCATTCCCAACTCAGAGTCATCAGCAGTTCCCTGTTGCCTTCAGGACTGAAGCCATCCCCATCTTTCCTTATACCAAGCTAAGGGCTTTGCTTCCTAAAAGCTGACTCTCTCCTTTATGGGCTTCACCCCTTGAGTGCATCATGAACTTTTCCACTTCCTTGTCTTGGTTTATATCCTGTCATCTGCCTGAGGTCAGAGATTTGGACATGCCCTTTCTCATCTCCACATCTGCATTTACCACGTGAGGCCAGGGTCAGACAGGTGATGAAAATGTATGAGACAGGCCAAGTATAAGAAAAAGCTAAATCTTTCTATTTTATTTCTAATTTTTGGTAGAGTTGTGGATTTTAAATAGCAGTTTATACTCAGAATCAGTATCAGAGAAATAATTTAGAGGAGGCTGTGACAGACCAGAGTTTGCTGTTTCCCTATAAAGGGGGACAGCTATTGCTTAGCTCCAGCCCATTGCTTAGCTCCAGCCCATTGCTATGCAGGAATGTAAACTCTATTTCACCAGATCTAATTTTTTAAGAGAAACTGGAAACTTAGTTTGTTATTGTTGCCACTTAATTTTTGAAAATCACCATGTAGAGGCCAGGCATGGTAGTTCACACTTGTAATTCCAGCCTTCTGGGAGCCCAAAGCAGGAGGATTGCTTGATCCCAGAAGCTCAAGGCCAACCTAGGCAATATCACAAGACCTCGCCTCTTCAAAAAATTTTTTTAAAAATTAGCTGGGTGTAGTGATGCACACCTGTAGTTCCAGCTATTTGGGAGGCTGAGGTGGAAGGATTGCCTGAGCCCAGGAGGTTGAGGCTGCAGTGAGCTGTGATCATGTTACTGCACACCAGCCTGGGCAACAGCGTGAGACCCCAACTAAAAAAAAAAATAAGCCTGAGTCGATGGCTCAGTCTGTAGTCCCAGCACTTTGGGAGGCCAAGGCGAGTGGATTGCCTGAACCCACAGGTTCGAGACCTGCCTGGGCAACTTGGTGAGACCTCATCTCTACAATAAATCAAAAAATTAGCTGGGCATGGTAGTGCAAGCGTAGTTCCAGCTACTTGGAAGGCTGAGGTGGAAGGATCGCCGGAGCCCAGCAGGTCAAGGCTGCGGTGGCCGGGAGCATGCCACTGCACTCCAGTCTGGGCGACAGAGTGAGACCTCACCTAAAAAAAAAAAAACAACCCAAAAAACCAAAAATATATATATATATCACTATTCAGTCAGAAACATAACTCAAGACATTTGTCTGGGCCACAGGGGTTCTTGACTTACAGCTTCTAATCTAAGACCTAGCTACAATATCCCTTTTCAAAAAAGCCTTCCCTGAGTTCTCTGCAAATAAACTAGCACTTGAAGGCCCACTGCACACACTCAGCTTCCCAGTCATTTACCTGTCTCCCTTTTGCACCAGTTAACACTTTGAACTTGTACTTTTTCAGTCCTGTTTAATCTTCTCTTTTAGACTGTTCCTTGAGGGCATGGCCTGATTCTTGTTTTTCTTTATCTTACCCATTATACCAAGTTATTTGTTCTCCTTTGGCACCTAATAAATACTAGTTGGGCTGATAACTGAATGTGCTTCCTTCTTTGATGCTTCTGCATGTGCTGTTTTTTAAAATCCTTATTCTACCATGTGCAGCAGAGAGGATGGGCGTTGTATTTTACAGAGGAGGGAATGAATTGAGACTCAACAGGATTATGGGAATTGCTTAAGGTCATGTGGCAAAAAAGTCAGGGAGCTGGGGTTTGAACCCAATTAGTCTCAGTTTCATTCCAGTCTCCTCTCCCCTCTGCCACCTCTCATCTTCTCCCCCTTGACCTTTCTCTGTAGCGGAACGGAAACCACCACTGTTTAACATGAATGCGATGAGTGCCTTATACCACATTGCACAGAATGAGTCCCCCGTGCTCCAGTCAGGACACTGGTGAGGACTGGGATTCCTGGGCCCAGGGGTTAGGCCATGGGGTAAGGCTACCTGACTCATGCCCTCCCCACCCCTGTTCTACTCTCCTGTGACTTCCAGGTCTGATTACTTCCGGAATTTTGTTGACTCCTGTCTTCAGAAAATCCCTCAAGACAGACCAACCTCTGAGGTTCTTCTAAAGGTGAGGACTCACTGGCCTAACATTCTTCTAGAACTGTAGCTTGTTAGAGCCAAAAAAAAAAAAAAAAACCCTCAGTGAAATTAGTGGTTCCCAATTCCTCCTCCACCAAGAGTTTCATTTATGAATTCCCACTCCCATCCCCCAATACCCAGTGGACTCTGTGATTTACAAGATTTTGTCTATCAGACTGCCTTAATTTATTAAGTAATAATTTGTTTTCCCATCTTTTATTAATCAAAGATGTATATAATTGCCAGCCAGAGCTTCTGGTCAGCGTGCGATAACCAGGCTTACCACACTGATCTGATGTAATTCAAGCCAAAAGCCTGTGTAGCCTTATCATGGGTAAATGTATGATTTCCCTTAGGTGTTTTTTGAGTTATCAAAAGTAGGAGGGGCCCCGTTCCCTTCACAGATCCATGGGGGCCTAAGGAGCCCTAGTTGGGAAGTTATATTATCTAGTTTGACCTACTTGTGTTATAATTGTGGGATGCCTTATGAGGCCCAGAGAGGCCTCATGACATGTCCAAGGTCACACAGCACTTTGATAGAGGAGCTGGACTAGAATCCAGCTCTCCTGACCATTGCTTGTCAGCCATGCCTGGAAGAACAAGAGTCTGTCTGGGGAGTAAAGACTGGGTGGTAGAGAACATTATCGTGGGAGGAGGGGTTGGGACAAGACCAGCGTCATCCCAAGGTGGGCATGGGCCCCAGGTGAGTGCCTCAGGCCAGAGGGAATTCGAGGGTTTTGGATTGTGGGGGTTGCAGGGGTTGCCAGCCGGCCTCAGCATTCTCTTTCCCTAGCACCGCTTTGTGCTCCGGGAGCGGCCTCCCACAGTCATCATGGACCTAATCCAGAGAACCAAGGATGCTGTGCGGGAACTAGACAACCTGCAGTACCGCAAGATGAAGAAGATCCTGTTCCAAGAGGCACCCAATGGCCCTGGCACTGAGGCCCCAGAGGAGGAAGAGGTGACCACCCAGCTTGCCCTGCCACCCTTCTTTATCCCCCATGTTATACTTGCCTCCTAGTGGCTGCTTGGTCCCCCTTTCTCACCCCCACCAGTCTCCTTATACTGCCTCCATGCGTACACCCCCGACCAATATCCTATGGCCTATTTGTAGGAGGCGGAGCCCTACATGCATCGGGCTGGGACACTGACCAGCCTAGAGAGTAGCCACTCAGTGCCCAGCATGTCCATCAGTGCCTCCAGCCAGAGCAGCTCAGTCAACAGTCTAGCAGATGCCTCAGACAACGAGGAGGAAGAGGAGGAGGAGGAGGAAGAGGAGGAAGAGGAAGAAGGCCCTGAAGCTCGGGAGATGGCTATGATGCAGGAAGGAGAGCACACAGTCACCTCTCACAGCTCCATCATTCACCGGCTGCCGGTATGCAGCTCACCCTGCGTGGGCCTGACACACAAGTGACCAAGCCTGAGCTCTCCTGCTCTGGAACTGTCTGGGTTTCTGCTCTCCCTTCCTCAGCATGACTGCTTTTTTTCTAAATGAGTCTCCTCAGGTAACTCCCTTTGGACCCAATGGCCTCAGAGCCTTGGGTATCCCTTCTACCTTCTCTTCCTCTAGGGTTCTGACAACCTGTATGATGATCCCTACCAGCCAGAGATTACCCCAGGCCCTCTCCAGCCACCTGCAGCCCCAGCTCCCACCTCTACCACGTCCTCTGCCCGCCGCCGGGCCTACTGCCGCAACCGGGACCACTTTGCCACTATCCGTACTGCTTCCCTAGTAAGTGCAGCCATACTCACTCGGCCTCTTTGCCATGTGTTTTTCTACCTCACCTGGATGCTCTCAACTCTTTCTAAGTCCAGAAATTATTTTCTCCCTGTGGCACATGGTTAAGTCTGCTACCCTCATTTTCTGTTGCTGGTTCATACCTTCTCACCTCAACCCTCTCCCCTCCCTTCCTCCCAACAGACTGCCTTGGTCACATGGCCCAGTCTGGGTGTTTCTAGCTTGGCAAACTCTTACTCCATTTTTGTGGCCTGGCTTAACCCATCTCCTGGGGTGCTTCCCAGGCTCCTCTGGCCAATCAGGTGCTTTATATCCCTCTACACAGACATGTCCAGCCCTGTGCTGGAGTGTTTCTGAACAGCATTATGACAGATTTGCCAGATTCTGTGCCCCAGAAGGCAAGAATGGTGTTTGAGCATCTGCCTGATGCCAGTGATGGACTCTCAGGTGCATACACAAGCCTGTGTTTAATCCTTCTAGCTATCCTGGGAGGGAAAATACAGGATCCCATTTAAGAGATAAGGCGACGGTGGCTCAGAAGGCCTGCTTACCCAAGTGCTAAAATCAAGTCATGACAATCATTTTCTCAGTTCACAGGATAAATTAGGCTTTCTGTAAAACATTTTTCGTCCATACTTTCAATAAATCTTTAGCTTATGTTTCTGCTTAGCTATATTTGAGTACCAGCAATTCCCTTAGAAGCCACTGGTTATGTCTAATATGTTCTTAATAGCCTATGCTTTTGGGGCTGGTAGTTGTGCTAGGACAACTCTTCAGATCCTGTGGTGCTTGGTGGTACTATGCAGAGGTCTGTGACTTTCAGAGTCTTGGATATTTGGACTAGTTTGAGAAACAGTGACAGAACCAGTTGAGAATGGGACCTGGGATCAAATTTCAGATGAGGGTGGCCAGGCCCAGTGTTCTTGCTATTCTTTTTTTTTTTTTTTGAGTTGGAGTCTCACTCAGTCGCCCAGACTGGAGTGCAGTGGCTGCTCCCGACCACCGCAGCCTCGACCTGCTGGGCTCCAGCGATCCTTCTGCCTCAACCTTCCAGTAGCTGGAACTACAGGCCTGCGCTACCACGCCCGGCTAATTTTTTTTGATTTATTGTAGAGATGAGGTCTCACCTGCCCAGGGGGGGTCTCGAACACACGGGCTCAGGCAGTCCACTCACCTCAGCCTCCCAAAGCGCTGGGATTACAGACTGAGCCACCGAGCCCAGCTTGTATACTTGCTATTCTAGTGTCTTGTGGCCCAGAGCTCAGTACCTGGGGTATAATAGACCCACCATGTTTGCCAAAGGGAAAGGAAGCAATACCTAACTGGTACGGAGAGTATTCACAATACTGTTAGATTTGCATCAAACTTAACTACACAGCCACTTATGAGGGGTTATTATTGTCCCGTTTAACAGAGGAGGGAAATTGGTACTTTAGAAGTTAACTTGCTTGAGATCGTATGTTTAGTAAGTGGCGGAGCTGGGATCTGTCAGATTTACTCTTGAACCAATCTGAAATGTTCCTACTTTTGTGTCAGGACCTTTTACTATCTTATTCGATCACACCAAGCTTTGAAGTAGATAATATATTTATTATCCAATTGAAAAAAAATGATTAGCTGGGCGTGGTAGCGCGCGCCTGTAATTCCGGCTACTAGGAAGGCTGAGGTGGAAGGATCGCTGGAGCCCAGCAGGTCGAGGCTGC